ATACAATTTTATAATAAATCTTTGAAAATCAAAATCTGGATTTGAATTTTTAATGTTATAACCTAAAGATGCTATGTGAAAGTTTGAAACAGAAAATAGTGGTTTTCATCTAGCCACTTTCTTGGTAAAGAAAACACATTTTTACTCAAATTAATCAAAATGGATTTATAGTGTTTTGGAACCAAACTCTTCATATGTTATTGGCTGCTTTTATGTTTGCCATATAAACATAAAAGGGAGCACAAATTTATGCTAAACCTAAAAAAAAAAACACATATGTGGAGAGGGGGGCTTTCAGAATTCCACCACATGCTACTTGTTTCCAAGTATGTCCAAACAAATATGTCCAAGCATGTGTGTCTTTCTATTCCCATAGGGGTGTAGAACCATACGACAAACCCACCACAGTGTTTGTCCAGCGCCACGAGCCCCAGGGAGACTCCAGCATCCTCAGCAGCACGGACTTCTTCCAGGACGAGCAAAACCGCCGTGTTATCCTGGAGAAGGTGGACAGCTTCCAGCTACGGGACAAGTACATGTTTGCCACAACCACTAGGGTAAGGGTGCACAGTGACCAGACCGAAGCCGCAAACCTTTGAAGGATAATTTGTAGCTTCAGGCTTTTATATAGCAAAAGATGGGAAGAATATGCAGTGCTGAGCTAGAGTTAAAAAACGGAAAATGTGCAGAGTGCCGAGAGTCAGATCTGTGCCAAACTCCCTGAATGCCTCTCCTGTGAGTGTGAATAAACACTCCTCTGAAGAGCTGGAGGAACGATCCTGCTCAAGATGAACAGGCAGTGATAACAGGCTTATTTAAAGCCTTGAAGTCGAGTGTGGAGGATTGCTGGTGTGTTTAGCCAACAGTGAACTTCTGAACTTTGTGACAGGAAGGTAATTTAGACAGGTGACCCTTTATAAGGTGTAGTACTTAATCATCTGGGCTGGTAACCAAAAGGTTGCAGGTTTGAATCCTGCTAAATCATTGCACCCTGAAACATAATAATATAATTGTAATAATTGTACTTTGAATAAAAGCATCTGCTAAATATCAGACTGTGAACAGAGCAGAGGCAGAAAACTGTGAAAATACGCAAGCAATGTTCAAAGTTACACAACGTGTTGCTGTTACACATTTGCTCTGTTCCAAAACCTAGTGAGCTGCCTGGAAGGCAATATTTAAGGCTTCCGGGATGAAGACTGTTCCAGAAGGTAGGAGGTTTAGTTATGTTGCCTCCTAAGAGGCCAAATTTTGGCCGGATTCTAAGGCAGCATCGTGTGTATCCTGCACAGAGAGAGCAAACCCAGAATGCACTGCCACGAGGCTTGATGAAAGAAGAAATACAAGATGGCGAACGAGAAATTTTTATTTCTTATGTAGAATAGTTATAAAGATTTAAAGGGATAGTTCACCCAAAAATGCAAATTACCCCTAGGTGTATATGGAGAGTTATATTAAAAAATGTCCTGGCTCTTCCAAGCTTTATAATGGCAGTGAATGGGGCTTAAGATTTTGAAGTCTAATAAAAGAGCATAAATCCATTATAAAAAGTATTCCACATGGCTCAAAGAATTTTTGTGAGAAATATCCATATATAAAACTTTATAAACCGTAATCTCTAGCTTCCGCTAACTGTCATACGCACATTCACGAGAGAATGGCATTCTAGCGGATGACATTGGATGTAGGAGTAGCATAAGCTCCGGTGAGAATATGCTAGGCTTGCGAGAACCAAGTTTGGTTTACAGCAAAGGAAAACCAGTCTCCTTTTGGCTTATACCGAAATCCTCTGACATTTTCTTTACAAATCCTCATTTTGTACTTCTAATTCGTGACCAGTGTTTTGTTTTGCTCTCTCCTCTGTTCTTCCGCGTTTTTCTCTTCTCATCAGAGCTTACGCTACGTCTTACATCATTTGCTGGAACGCCACTCTCTCGTGAATGCACGTATGACAGTTAGCGGAAGAATTGAATGTTCTTCAGTAAACACAATACTAATAGTAATAGTTACTAATAGTTGTTAAAGGGGAGTATATAATATTGACAACTAGAGGTTGAAATGGGTACTGCAGTCCTAATTCAAAGTATTGGAGAGCGTTGTTACTCCTGCCCCTCCTCCTCAGACTCAGCGCTCATATGGGTTGCCAGATCAAGGACACACAACAGGAACGAGCGCAATTGACAACGGAAGGCGACAGGCCTTACACACAGTAAATTAATTTATCTATGTTTAATATGCCTCTGGTCAAAAAGCTTTTCAGATGGATGCCGATGCTTTGTAGGTCAGGTAGAATATCTGTTCCAGTTCGTTTGCTGGCTTCCATGGTTGCATACGCTGTGTTTTCCACCAACTGGTAACCTGGGGTATTGAAGTTTTGAATCACTCTCACAGTAATTTGGTGTCATACAATGATTGGTCTGCGCAGCGCTGCTTCAAGTCGAACTTACGAACAAACACGTGCACGTATTTGCATCGCTTTGATTCTCTGTAGATCCCACCTTCTCACACGCCACGATTGGTCGATTATGTACAATGCCTGCATGTTATTGGTCAAACTACTTTGGATGTTTTAGGCAATATACAAATCCTGGCCAGGAAGTGTCCTGTGTAAATGGCACTTATGGCCACCCTAATACAGCACCTTTGGCAGTTTTATAACAGTTGGTTTTATGTGTTTTTTTAATTTTTTTTATTTAGCTTGGATAATAATTTATTAATTTCAATAAGTCAGTTTGAGGTTTAGAACCATGGCTTTAAAAGCATGTATCTTGTATATTTTTTATTTGTGCATTCACATAATGCCATGTAGATCTATTAATGAAGAGTTTCATTGAAATAAATGGAAACTCTGAAAATGCTAACTGCTTAAGAGATTGAAGGTGATCACGCAGATTTACACTCTCTGGACCATTTAATTATTTTTGCTCTTTTTATTGACGTTAGACACCCATATTAATTTCACATTTTTGAGCAGAAACAATTACTACTCCACATCATTTTGACATGTTGCAATGTGTTTTGTATTGTGAGGTAGTTAGCATTACTCAGCCCTGCACCACAGGTCATCAGTCATAGAAAATAAAAAGTTTTAAGCTATATCTGTCAAACTGTCTTATTTGCCTCATATCCAAGATGGGAACATAATATAGCCTGAAATATTTGTTTTCATTTAATATGCCTCCATAAAGTTTTGCATAGTTTTGGTTGCTGAAACAATGACCGTCTAGACTACATGTCTATGCTGACCACAGCTAGAGTTATATTTCAATGTATCTCTCACCCTTGAGTGTATTCAGTGGTTAATCATTTCCACCTCACATCGGCTGGCATCTCACTAACCTCATCCCACAGCAAATGTCTGACTGCCCAGAAGTGGATGAGGCATCTGTCAGGTCACACATGGCACTGCCAGGTTTGCGTAAAGCAGAAGCCGACCCAAGTCACCCATTAAAGTGGGAAGAAATGTGCAATTTATCTGCGGCTTCAGAAAGCCAGAGACTCCGTGGGAGTTTTGAGGGCTGTTTATGAGCGGTGCTGCACGGATGGCACCAGCACGGCCCTGGACACCGTGCTGGAGGAGCTGCCTGCTTGACAGCTCTGATCTATGTTCCGTTAATGAAGTTGTGGCTTGGTTTCCCTGGGGTGATTCTAACCACTCCTGCACCACTTATATGCGTTCTGCTGCCCAGTGCCGCCATATCCTGTCTTCCACACTACGCTGTGCTAACGGCTCAGAGCGCTGCTGTAATACAAAGAAACAGTTTTATAATTGCTCCTATTGTTCTTGTTTGTGAAGGACTGTGCATTATGGAACTCAAAAGAAGATATTTTGAAGAATGTTTCAACTGTTTATTGTCCGAAATATCTTCTTTTGTGTTCCACAGAAGAAAGAGAGTTTGGTTTGGAATGACATGATGGGGAGTAAATGATGACAGAATTTTCATTTTTGGCTGAACTATCCCTTCAAGCATCCTGAAAGTCATCTGAATCTCATTTCATAGAGAATCACTTTGGTGAGGCATAGACCAAAAGGAGCAATACGCACTCACTTTGAGTGATTTTTCTGAATTTTCCACAAGCGGCGGCTATGGGAAATTTGCTCTCTATGTTCTGGTGAGCCACAGTTCCAGTGAATTTTTTGTAACGGATTTGGATACTTCGCTTACTGAGTGGATGGATTTACATCAGGATAATTAGTGGTTATTATGGTTAGACCATTCAGCTCTTTGCAGTGCAAGTTGGTTGTCTACATAGCGCATTAAACAAAATTATCCTAAGGAGGTCTATGACAAGACAGACAAATAGTAAACAGGCCAGAGCAAACCGCTCTGTGGAATTTGTCTGGCTGGGATGGTTGTAAATATCTCTACTCTTGAGGAGAGAGAAAGTGACAGGCTTGTTGAGAGCCTTGGCTTGTTGATGACTGTGTGTGGCCTGGCCCTGACCCTGCTGGCCAGACCGTACCCTTGGAGCAACCCCCTCTCTCTTTCTGTCTCTCGTTTTTCAGTCTCTCGCTCACTCACTTACAGACTAACACTTAGTGAGCTGTCTACAGAGGCAGCATTTTAAGGAGGCATAAGATGCCCCTGCTGAAAAGAATCAGCTTAAACTGTCCTAAGACGGTCTTAATTGGTTTAAGATGGTCTTCCAACCTCACCTACTAAAAAATCAAGAGACCAGCCAAAACAAGCAAACCATCTTTTGCTAGTTAAACCTATTTTTTTAACAGGGGCCAGGGGCTTATCTTAATTATGCTATTTAGGCTCGTAAGATAAACGTTTAGCCCAGTGTGGTTATTGTTAACTAAACCTGAAGGTTTCAGTGCTAAAGTAGAAGTAAATGGTGAAGTATAAATTAATTTGATGAAAAACTTCAACTTAAAATGTATTTTATACAAAATCACCAAAATTTCTAATCTGTTTTTTTATTACAACAATTACTGAAACTGACAAAATAAATTAAAGCTATATAGAAATAGAAAACTAAACTAGGGGTGGGTGATATACTGGTGGAGAGAACTTATTTCACTATATGCGCGTGCTGTCTGAGATATGGTTTCTGAGCACTGCCAGAGAGGTGCGCGCACATGAAGACAGTGCTCATAGAGCACAGGAGTATTTAACAGTTATTTTTGCAGCTTTATAGTCCTTGAATGGTTAAATACACACGCTTGTATGTGTCAAAATGCCCATCTTTGCAAGTATCCTCGTAAACACAGTAATTTAAGTCTTAAGTGAAAGCAAACAGCTAAGAAAGAAAACATGTATAACAATATATTGGACACGGGCAGCTCTTAAAGTGACAGCAGTCTAATATTCCTGCTCCAAGTATGTCCAAACAAATATGTCCAAGCATGTGTGTCTTTCTATTCCCATAGGGGTGTAGAACCATACGACAAACCCACCACAGTGTTTGTCCAGCGCCACGAGCCCCAGGGAGACTCCAGCATCCTCAGCAGCACGGACTTCTTCCAGGACGAGCAAAACCGCCGTGTTATCCTGGAGAAGGTGGACAGCTTCCAGCTACGGGACAAGTACATGTTTGCCACAACCACTAG